TATTTCAAACGAATTTCCTTACCATGCGGAGTCGCTTTTCCCGGAAACTTGTTGTTTTTTATGAATGTTTTTGTTTTGATTTCTTTATTTTGAAAATTTTGTATGTTTATATTATTTGTTTATATTGTAGCTGAACCTTTTTATTTTTTTACACTAACTTTAAGAATCTTATTTTAAAACTTTTTTCTATTTTTCTAAATATTTAAGTGCTTTTATGAAGGAAATATTATTGCTATATAGTAAACTAGACAACCTATTAGTCTAATATACTACTAGTGTATTTGACTTCTAATATGCGTTCAGATTAGTACTGCTAGTATTACTAGCAGTATTAATCTTTATGGTACAGGTATTATAGTTTAGGCAGGAATAACTATAAAGAGTTTTTGACTGTTAACAGTCTTAAACTCTATAAAGTTGTTCCTGCCTAAACTATAACGCCTGTATCATACAGAATAGTACTATCTATAACTAATGTCTAATAACTAATAATTACTAGTAATATACAAGTGTCTTATAATTAGTTATTAGACACATTAGTATAGTAATTAGATCTATATATTATAAGATAGTTATTATTACTTATTTAACAGTTGACAAGATAGTTTTGTTCGCCATATTGTAGTGGATAAAACACTCTTATATTTGTGATCTACAATGGTTTAGTTAGGAGAATGCATGACTACTGGTATAGAATAGAATACAAGATAGAAAACAAGACTAAATAGAAAGCAAGACTAACTAGGAAATAGGAAATAACGCATTCACCTTCCTTTAATAAATTAAGAAACTATGATTGTATCAAGTTAACTATATTTTATGGTAGGCAAGTTGGCATACCTGCAAGACTTACAAGTAAAGAACATAAAAATGCCTTGAACAATATATGATTAAATGAACAAAGAATAAAAAATGCATTATCTGAAAATCAATTAGAATGTAGAATGAAGATTAATTATCAGTCTGGAAGTGGGTTTAGTTGTTCCTCTCCTGTCTTAATTCCTAGAGATACAATTAAAAAAAAGTTGTTAGGTTTGGCTGATATTAGTAGTCAGGTTGGAGTTTCAGCAAAAACGCTATTTATTCTAGAACACAATTTTTACAAAAATTCTGTTTTGAATAAAATATTCTAAAAATATAATAAGGCAACTTAACGTGATCTTGTACAAATAATTGCCATCGCCATGCTACACTAATAGCTGATTATACGGTTTCGGATGCTGAAATGACTATCAAACTTCAGCAGCTTACTATCTTTTTTATAGGGAAAGTGTCTTGGAGCTTTTTATCAAAACTCCTGTATATATATAAAGATATTTTGATTTGTTTGAATAGTTTTTAAAGTAGCTATTTTTATTTTTTTAATGATTGATTTTTGCAAGAAATATTGTTATGAGAAAAACAAAAGAACACAATAAAATTTACTAAAGTTTTTTTAACAAGATGTAAAGCAAGACTTTTAAAAGCAATTAAAGTTAAGAGTAGCACTGCAAGCAGTTTAAATGAATTAGGTATATATCTTATTTACTATTTAATTTATTTTGGCATGTTTTTATATGTTATAAATAAAACAAATAAATTTAAAAAACAAATAAAATTTTATTTGTATATCAAGTTATTTTTTATATGACTATTTTTAATTGATAATTAAATAACTTTTATCAATATTCTGTACTCAAATTTAAAAAAAAATACAAATGAAAACTTTTTCTACTGAATATGAAAGCAGTTCAAGCAAATTGTAGTTCCATTTTCAAACTAATGATTATCAAATAAATAAAACTGAAAAAAGTTCTGTCTCAGTCTCAAGTTTTATAGCAAAGTATACACCAGATAATCTGTCTCTATTTATATATTACAACCTTTTTTTTTTATTTTGAAGATTTTTTTTAAATGTTAATGATCACATTAGACTATGAAAAAAAATTGTTATTTTAAGGTTGTATTACTTTAGGGATTAAATTGAAAGTTTTCTTCAATAGCAGCTAAAATGGTGGTGCAAAGTGGGCTGTGCCTTCAATACAAGAGTAGAAAAAAATAGCCTACATAATAATCAAATAGCTTATTTATTTTATTTTACCTTATTAATAAACTTAAATTGGCTCCTCCACTTCAAATATAGTTCCTCTAATATAGTGAATAATACTTATATATGCACTGTAAGCAAATACTTAAATAGTTATTTTGTGTATAACTATGGAGTAAATTTTGACAATTCAACTTTTAATAAATGTGTTTTTATTTTTTTCAATTTTTATTTTATTGTATCAAGAGTATGTTTAGACATGAGGGCAAGGAGATGGGTAAAATTTAAGAGCATTTGAGAAAGTTCTACATATGTGAAAACTTTTGAGTCTTGTGAGTAGCTATAAAAGTTCTATAAATCTTATTTAAGTCGTAGGTATAATCAAAAGGACAATATAAGTGAAAGAGTGTTTTTTATAAAGATTTCTGAAGTATGTTAGTTTAATCACAGGGTATCACTTAATGCATTAACTTGGATACCCTGATTAGGTATAATAATATTGTATTAAAAAGATTTATCTTTTTAATACAATATTGTGGTTAATTTTTATCAAATAAGATATAATAAAACAAAAATTAAGGGTAAATGTTAAAATAATCCATAAACTTTTTTTAATTTATATCACTTGTCACAAGGTGCTGATTTATTCTCATTTTACTTTTGATTTGAGTAGATAACTTTGTATCTTTATTTCAAATTACAGCACATATCTTTTCTATTTCAGGTCGACAAGATATTATTAAGTTTGGATCAAAATACAGATCTAGCCCAGACACTGTTGAAAACAAAATCATTAACGAAATAGCATAAAAGATGCGAACCTTTTCCGAAGTTCTAACGACATTAAAACTTATTTTTTTAAAGTTAATTTAAAACAGTTCCGAATAAAATTTATACTTTGAAGTAATGTTTTTTCAATTAACTTTTTCCCTTAAAGTTTCATTTATAAAACCTTTTAATTAATTTTGTGAACCACGGCGATACCAGTGACACAAAAATACACACTTTTTTTCACCTCGGCCTGTGTATTTATAAGAATTGTTATCCCGCGGGGAGCGCATTTTTTTATTGTCGACTTTAAGGAGATCTAATAAAAAAAAAAGTTAAAGTCAACTTTTAATAAAAAAAAATTTCTCGAAAACGTTAAGTCGACTTGACATTGAAAATTGAAGAAAAGTTTTAAAATATTTAATTCCCAATTGAACAAGAAGCCATTTCATTAATTTTTGAAAAAAAAAATTTTTAATTGATAAAGTTATACTGATTTTTGAGGCGTCGACTTTCCGCGGGTATTTTATTGCTGTCGACTCAAAGTTGATCTAGTGGTATATATATATATATATATATATATATATATATATATATATATATATATATATATATAAATATATATATATATATATATATATATATATATATAAATATATATATATATATATATATATATATATATATATATATATATATATATATATATATATATTTATATATATATATATATATATATATATATATATATATATATATATATATATATATATTATATATATATATATATATATATATTTATATATATATATATATATATATATATTGTTGCAAGTTTTTTTGTACCAAATAGAGATACAAAGCCTCTTGCACATTTTTTTAGAGTGATCAATATAATGTATTATTTACAAAATAGATCATCAATTATATATAAAAATTTAACTAAATGAAAAAATACAACTTTATCATGGAACTTAAAGTTTCATGCCTTTTTGGCAATCATCAGCCATATATATATATATATATATATATATATATATATATATATATATATATATATATATATATATATATATATATATATATATATATTTTTTTTTTTTTTTTTTAATCAAGAAAAACCATTAAAAATACAAAATACAAAAACAACAATAGGTTCTGATGTCAAATCAAAACAAAAAGTAATGTAGAAACTGGATTAATCACCGGTATCGAAATTAGCCAGAAAAAATTTGTTTCTATGCCTGCACTTAGATATTATTTCACTCCTTTTATTTAATAACTTTGTATTTCTAGAGAATAGAATTTCATATTTCTCATTTAAGCTTAATTACAAGATTTTTTCATAGGGTTAGGGTAGGGTAAGCATTGGACTGTTTAATTATTTTCCATTTAACTAAAGGATTCAAATTAGCTTCCTTTAATTTCCAAAACTCCTTTGATAACTCAGTGTCATTTTTATACCTGATAATATTAAATGATTTTATGTGATTAGTGTATCTAATTTTGAAAGGTGTTTCACATATACCAATGTAAAATTTGTTTATAGAAGTTTGGGCAGGATCATTGGAGGTTAAATTAGCTTGGTACACGATGTTATTTACCAGGCATTTGTTTGCCAAAGGGCAGGTCTTTTTATCAAGGCAGTTGCAATTGCTATTAGTGGTAATTTTGTTGTTTAAAATATGATGATTGTTTGCATTTAAGATAGATTTCATATTTGGCATGTAGCTGTAACTTAAGTATTTATCGAAGTATTTATCGATAAGGGTTAAAAAAATTTTTCCTATATTTGCGTTCACGTTTTTGCTGAAAGGGGGGTTAAACCAAATAATGTTGCATTTACGGTGCTTAGCATGAGTTGAATGCTATATTAATATTGTTCATCTCCCTGATGCCAATAGGACCATTACAGTCGAGGAGGGAACTTTTTGTGGTTTCTCTTACAAATATTTATATTTGAAATAGAAACTACGACAAAAAAGGTTGTTGCGCAGATAAACAGTTATAAAAAGAACAGTGAAATTAAGTTTTAGAATTAAGTTTTCAAATGAATTAAATGTTAAAATTAAATATTTAAATATTATCAGCTTATGTAAATTATTATCTGTATAATTTATCTTAATTATTATTATCTATTTAATTTATCTTATATTTATCTGTATAATTTATCTGCATAGTCTATTTTTTAACTTATTTTTTTCAGTTTCATGGGCAGAGTGGAGTGATTGGTCAAGTTGCAATGTTTCCTATGGAAATGGTTTTATGAAGAGAACACGAACCTGTAATCTATCAAATAATATATGTTGTGATGATAGCTATGAATTAAAAGAATGCTTCAGTAAATAAATAAATTTCATTATTATTCATAACTCTAGTTATTATTGTTTTTATTTATTACTATTTTCTGTTTATTCAAAAATTTAAGAGCTTTTAAATTTTGCTTGTTTTTTTTTTGCCTAAAGTTTTGATTATAATATATAGGATAATAGCAAGCAAACTTTTAACTTTTTTATTGTATACTAATAGTAGTAAATAACTTGTTTTAAACCTATTTTAAAACTGTTTTTTAGCATTGTTTTATTTGGAAAATGAAACTCAATTAATTAAAGACAATCTTGTTACAACATTAAGCACACTTTTCAAAGAATACACTGTGTCCTTTGAAGTAAAACTAACAGCTATTCAAGGCGGTCCACTTAGTGTTTTTCATTTGACAACTAATGGTGATTACGGTATATATGGATATCGAACACCAGCAATGTGGGTTCAAAATCCTGGGGTATTTTATATTTGTTCAGCTGTAAATAGCAATTTTGATTATTGCCAAGTTACTAAAGTTATTGAACCTAATAATTGGAATTCAATTAAAATATCACAAGAACTTTTTGAAGGGAAGTACATATACTCAATTGAACATAATTGCACAACTTTATTTTCTCAACAAAATAATGATTCACAAGAATTTTCAAATGTTAAAGTATATGTCGCAGATCCTTGGTATAAGGAACAACCTGGGTTTATTAGAAATTTTAAAATTACAAATGGAAAACCAGGTCAAGCAGGTAAAAAGCAATATTTCAATTTTATGTTTTTAATAATAAAGTGGGGAAAGTTTAAAAAAAAATCAATAAAAATAAAAAAAATTAAAAAAAAAGTTTTTTAGGCCTAATTTATGCTTTGCTTAATTAAAAAAATATATAAAAGAAGATTCATTAATAAAACTTTTATTTTGCAAAAATAACATCCAACAAGATGATGGGGGTATGCTTGAAAAAAGAAAGCAAAAAATAAATTGCAAGACTATTAAAATATATTAAAAAATGTATATTTTACGTTAAAAATTTTATTTCTATTTTAAGTTAATGAAATAAATTTTTTTTTTTTGTTTAATCGATCACCAAACATTATAATAGCATAATTATAGTATTAATCAGGAAATATTTAATGTACTTTTATTTGTATTGCCTTTTGACTTTTCACTTAATTATATACTTGAACTGATAAAATTTCTAGAATTCATTCAAGAAAATAATTCTTGGCTTATCTAGGTAGTTATTTATCTTTTAATTTTTTTTTTAAGTTTTGTTTGATATTAAAAACCAACTTTAATTTTTATATCAAGTTTTATATCATGCAATTATGCCTGAAAATGCGAAATTCTCAAATTTTTTTTAACTTCATGTTGTTTTTTTTGTTGTTTTTTTTGTTGTTAAAATTAGAATGAAGTAATAATAGTTTTACTTATGGGCAGAAATTTTGGAAAGATTGGAAAGTTTATTTTTAAATAAAAATTTATTTTGAATGTAGACTAGTGTTATTACTTTTTTAGCAAGATTAAATTTTTTGGAATTTCATACAACTAGGTAAAAATGCAGTATTTGGAATAAGTTTGTAAAAAAAATGTCACCCACCACTTTACAATATACCAGTATTTTTGGGCCCAAAAACTGATATTCAACAAGTCTTTAAAAAGAAAAGGCAAATCTAATTATACTTTTCAATATTTAACTTCAATAAAAAATTTCTCCTTTAAATTGCGTCTATAATTACCTTGTTTAGTAGAGGTCTAACATTAATATCTAATTGTCAGATAAACATTATTGCCACTTATACTTTACCCCATGATTTATGCCTGTTCCATAATGCACAAAGCTGAAATTAAGTGATTGTAAATTGTGATATCTGGAAATGCCTTGAAATTTTCAGCTTTTTTTTTATCACAAAATAAATTTCAATAAAAGATATTTATGATCTTAAAATTATGATATAAAATTGCAACTATTTTTATAACTGCTTTACTGCTTTACTGAAATATATTCTACTTTTATACTTATATTGCTCATATTTTAATTTTATTTCATTTAAAATTGCTCTTAGAGCAAAAAAAAGTAGAAATGCGCATTTTTTCTGCATACTTAAAGTTTATATACTTCAAAAGAAAATGTCTGAACTTACTCTAATTTAAAAATCTCCTAATTTAAGACGTACTCTAATTTAAGAAACTCCCTACTTAAAAATGAAAATAGTCTACTATGTTAGATGTGCAGATTTATGACAATAAATAATGTAGATTTCGATAATGCTGATTACGTAGACACACAACTATAGCATAGATTGCATGACATTTCTCTCAGTATTTTCCTAAACTTAAGGCCCTATCTTTATCATATAAATAATTTGAAATTAATCAAACTATAAAATTTCAAACCTCTTATTTAGACTATATTTATTTATAAAGCTTATTATCAAATAAGTTATTCTATCTGTTAGATTTTTTTTAGGCAGATCATTAAATTATGGTTTAAATTAAAAAGATAGCAAACAGAACTATCAAAGAGGAGGGAGGGGTAGGACAAGGGTTTTACCTTCAATGGTGAGCGGTCGTATAATTTTTTGCAAAGTTATAAATTTTCTAATAAAATGTTTATATATGTGCAGTTGTAAGATTAATTCATATGTATTCCAGGAAGAATGTTTATAGGGTAAGTGGGAAGCATAATTTGCTTTTTATGACTCAATATTTAGTCTGCAGTGTGCCATAAGTGAATGAATTTGTTCAGAATATAGTTTATGTTGCAGGATTACTAGTGTAACTATCACGATATTTTTCATCTTATAATTAATTAATTAGATAAATTTATTTTTCAATAAATATTATTGAAACAAACCTAGTATTTTAAAATTTTTCTTGTAGAAAAGGCTAAATGTCACATAATAAAAAGAACTAAAAAATATTTTACAAAGTATGTTCAAAGAAGAAGAAAGTGGTGATAAAAATGTGGAAAATGATAGTGAGTTTAGTGAGGAGAATATAGACACTAATGGTACCAAATTTTATAAATTTGGTACTTTGTTGGTAAAATGTTTCAAAAAAAATTAACATAGTAAAAGTATCTGTTGGCCTACAGCAACGAGCTAAATTTATCACTAATGAATTTGACACATTTTTGAAAATTGACCGAAGTATAATAAATGCAATTGTGACAACAACAAACATGTATATTGCTTAACTAAGAACTGAACATACATATTCTAGAGACTGAGACGTCAAAAAACAAGAAGAAGTGAATTTTGTGTTTATTTGGGTCTTTTGTTTGTGATTGGTATTAGAAGTCTCATTATTACGTTTGGGCAACTGAAGGAACTGAAATTTGTAGAGCATTAATGAGTTGCAATTATTTTTTAATTATAACATGCTGCCTGAGGTTTGATAAAACCACAGGAGTTGAAAGACAAAAAGTAGATAAACTGGCAGCCATTTGTATGTTTCTTGATGCAATTGTGCATAATTGCAAGACTTGCTTCTAATTGAGTGAATATACAACCATTGATGAAATGTTACATCTGTTAAATAATATATTTTCCTAAACTCATTGACATATAATGAATATAAAATAGTGAAAACTACCTTACATTGTTTGACAAAAAATCTATAACATGACCGTCTGAAGGTTAAGAGTCATGACTATTTAATAACTATCATTATACCTGTTTATAGAAAAACTAATTTAAAACCTTGTAGTAGCTCAGTAATAAGTAGCTTGGATTAGAAGCAATGTTCTCTAAGCAGTTATGTAGTAGCAATCAAATCCTAAGCTTGGATGAGGAAATATTATTTTTGTGTTTTTTAATCTTGCCCATTTTTAAAAAATACAATAACATAAATACAAAATGTCAAAATAATATTTCAATTTAATTTTTATACTTGTGTTTTTTTTAACTTTTTTTTGTTTTGTGAAAAAATATAGCGGTTTTTAAATATTTCTTTTATAAATTTACTAAGAAACTTAAAAGTGTTAAATTATTACAATCAGTACAAAATATTTATAAATAAATTTGTTTTTCGCAATAAACATACATTTTCAATAGTTTAGTGGTTTGGTGAGCTATCCTAAGTGCCAAAAATCTAAATCCATTAATATGCAAAAAAAACTTTTTAGAGACTTTAATCTTGCTGCTTTTTAAAGGCAGAATGAAACAGTTTACACAAAAAAGACTTGCAATTCCTATATAATTTATCTTATTTAGAAATATTTATCTAAATTATAAACATTTTTTTAACAATTATAAATTGTGTAAATTAGAAAAGTTATATAAAATATATTAAAGACTATCGTTCCATATATGACCTATAAATTCACCTTAACCTACTGATGTTTACACTCACATATATTTTTATGTAAGGCTATACAAAAGGAATTTCTACTTTAAATGTAAATGACATCAATTCACATAAGTTACATTTTTATCAATTCACATAAGTTACATATTTATGTATTTACATAAATCTTTGATGCGTCCTAAAATCTTTGATTCATCCTCTCTAGCGCAGATATTTAAATTAAAGACAGAGGTGTTTAAAAACATGCAAAAATAAATTGAAATCCCTTATAGTTTTTTTAAAACAAAATAAAAAAATCTTACATCTTTTTAAAATATATATTTTTATTGCTATTTTCATTATCAGTTATTTAATGTCTAATTTTAAAACATTCAAATTTTTAAAATAATAATTCTTAAAAGTTATTTTGAAGCCCTGTTTGGGTTCTCTCTTTCTTTACCATTTTTTAATAATTAATAATTAGCTGACTTTTGTGACTTGTATTATTTTTTTAAGTGTTAATTTTTCTTATAACAATAGTATCTGGTGTGCTTTGCAAAAAGGCTGTATCTGATAAAAAGAAATGTTTATATATTAATATA